TGCTGCGCCTGCCACGAAAAATGACGATGGACACGTCCAAAGTGCTGCGCCTGCCACGAAAAATGCAAGACATCTTGTGAAAACGTCGCGAAAGTATTGCACCTGCCACACAAAACGACTTTCGACACGTTCCAGAACACGTCTGAATGTCACGAAGTGCCACGCCTGCCACGCGAAACGAAGCAACGCCACGTCTGAAACCTCCAAAAATGACAACCTCTGCAGAACTTCCCATAGGCACGGCCATATGGTCCTCGCGCGGACGGTTGCGAACGGTTGCGGACGGTTGCGAACGGTTGCGACCGTGAACGCAACGTCGAGCGAACACACCCTCAACCCCCAGACCCCCAGAGTGAAACGGGAACCCTTGCTACGCATTCGGGAAAAAGAAAACATGGCTGGGGGGTCATGGGGTCATGAAGTAGATCATCCCAGTCATAGGGGTATAATCCCCACTACCTTAGAGGATGGGGTAGGGATGGGGTATACCAAATTCATACATCGATGGTTTGTGGCTGCCATAATGATTAAATCAAGGGGAAATAAGCAATTTGGTCAATGTAACCTCGACATTTGGAAAATTGCATGAAAAATCAACCATTCACGGATGATATTCCCAGCTATGCACCTCCATTTGTAGTGGAGGTTCCCATATTTTTCATATTTTCCTATAGGTTTTTGTCCCCTTAAACCCAGCATTTTTCGTTGCGATTTCGGTCCTGGCACCGGCCTTGCAGCCACGTCTGGCCCTTGGGACAGAGCGAACACGGGATGCCGCGACGGCCGCCAGCGCAATGCGCCGGGGCTCCACCGGGGCAGTGGGACGTACTGCGACATTTGAAGATGCTCCTTGGGGGATGGCCGATGGATTCAGAGGAAGATTGAAACTGAAAACATCTGGCAACTATATAGTTATAGATTTAATATATATATATATATAAAATTATATATAAATAAATAAATAAATATATATATATATATACCAGTAGTACCCGCACGAGGCGGGGCGGAAGTTGCCTTAGGGATATATAAGACCTTTCTCATCTATAGAACTTGCATGCGCCGTCCGCCAGCCAGCCCGTGCGTGCGTGCATTCTGCGAAAGTGGTGTCCTGTTTCGCATGTCACATTTGAAGCTCCACTTCGCATTTCACACTTCTCACTGCACTCTTCACACTCCACACTACACACTTCACACTCCACACTTCACACTGCACTCTTCGCACTCCACACTTCATTTCACACTGCGCTCTTAAGACTCCACACTTCACACTTCACACTTCGCAGTCCACACTTCACACTTCTCACTTCTCACTGCTTTCTTCACACTCCACACTTCACACTTCACACTCCACACTTCACACTCCACACTTCACGCCCCACACTTCGCACTGCACCCTTCACACTCCACACTTCATCTCATCTGATCTCTTCTCACCTTATCCCAGCTCATCTCTTCTCATCTCATCTCTTCTCATATGTCATTTAAGCTTTCATGAATCACTTCCCAGTACTACTTCGAGAACTTGCACGCGCCGTGCGCCAGCCAGGCCCGTGCGCGCGTGCTTTGTGCGAAGCTGTTGCAGTGTTGTTTTCCAAGAACATGACCCGCGCGCGACCCCGGTGCAATGCAACGTCAAGCAAACACTTTCCTCACACTTCACATTGCACTCTTCACACCCCGCACTCCACACTTCACACTTGCACTTCATATCAACTCATCTCATCTGAGCTCTTCTCATCTCATTTCATGTCTTCCCATATGTCAGCTAAGTTCTTCTTGGCTATTTTCATGTCATCTGAGCGCAGCTCAACCTGTCTCATGTCTCAACTCATCTCGGCTCTTCTGCACGTCAGAAAGCTTGAGACACAGATGCATTTACACAGAAGAGTCTTACAAAATACTTTGTACTACAAAGCTTGCACAAAGCACGTCCCAGTACAACTTTGTACTACAAAGCTTGCACAAAGCACTTCCCAGCACTACTTTGTACTACAAAGCTTGCACAAAGCACGTTCCAGTATTACTTTGC